GCGGGGGGGGGGGGGGGGGTACTCATGTGCGGGTTATGTGAACACAGCACCCCGTGTTCCGTGTGGTGTTGGTAGGGCAGGGGTTGGATGGGTGTGGGTGATGTTTTCAACACCTCTCACGCCAAGGAGGGCAGGGCAAACGACCCCCCAAACAAAAGGAGGAGGGCATTTTTATAACAGTTTTTGTGTATCTTGGTGAAAGGTAGCCGGGACGGGGGATGACCCGGCATGTCCCTCCATCCGGGCATGGGGGAGATTCAAGGTTTTTTCGTTGCCCATTAGGGCAGGGGTTTACAGGAGTACAACCCCCCGTTGTTGGGTCTTTTCCGAGGGGGGGGGTAAATTTTTTAACAACCAAGGCATTCCCCCCCCCCCCCCCCGCGTGCCTCCTCTTGCCCAACCAGCTCCTGCCAACCCTCGTAGAGAGCCTCGGCGGCCCCAACGCCAACATGCCCCGCCTTGAGGCCGCGGCGGCCGGCGCCCTCATCACCTTCTGCAACCCGGAGCGCCTGAGCGCCGAGTGGCTCTACGCCGCTACCCCGGGAAGGCTGGGCGGGGAAGCCGTGGGTCTAGCCATGCTGCGGTCGCTCTCCGGCCTTGTGACCGGGAGCTCCTCGGTGGTTGTGCGGGAGGAGGCGCTTACGGCCGTGGGCTGCGCCGCGAGGGTGAGCTGTGGGCGGGGGGGGGGGTACTCGTATAACCGCATGCCGTCGTCTTTGGGCCATTGACATCGCATCCTCGAGAGGACGGAGTGTTTTTCGCAAAGCGGGGAGGGACGCGATTCGCGTTGCTGCTGCTGTATGCGGTGGCGATGGCTGAGTTTGTTTAGCGGCGGCATTGGCGCTGGCCCGTCGGTGGTGTGTATGGCGTCGGTTCATGTAGCTGTCTTCGTCTTCTTGGTGTTACAGCTGCAGCTGTAAATTGTTACTCTTGCCCCGGTGTGCGGTGTGCGGTGGTTGGTTCACCGCGCACCTCGCTTTTCGCTCCGTCGGGCGGGGTGGGTTTTTCCTCGGACTGCCGCTGGCGTTGTGACCCTCGACTCAGAGAAACCCCCCCCGCCCGAACGACGCGTCGAGCACGGGCCCCACAAATGTGTTGTACACACCTGGACGACAAAGTCACCATTTTGAGCT